GGCCGTAGAAATGAGAATGCTTCGATGGGCATGTGGTAAGACTCTGTGGAACATGACACCAAACTCTGCTATTAGGATGTCCTTGGGGTGGTACCTGTATCCGAAAAATTGAGGGAGAGAAGACTACGATGGTTTGGGCATGTCCTTAGGCGACAACCATCTGATGCGGTCAGGAGGGTAGAGTCGATTACAGTCGACGGTGCCAGAAGGAGAGGACGACCAAGGCGGAAGTGGGAAGACTGCTTGAGATCTGATTTGAAGGATTTAGCCCTTACCAAGGACATGACCTCTGATAGGAAATTATGAAGACTTAAGACTAGGGTAGCAGAGTAGTGCGGGTCACATCTATAGGGTGTGTATCTCTGTCTTCTTTTAATGCATTTATAGTAATTTCCATGACTTCTATTTTTTATACGTTTCTGTCATTTGAATTTATGAAGGCTTAGAACTAGGATAGCGGAGTAGTGTTACCTTAGTTTAGGTTTTATCCCATTGGACTTTATTCCTTCTCGTAGCTTGCTAACGTTGACTACTGTGTATCATTCTCTTCATGTTTTCTCTTTTTAAGTTTTAGTCGGGTCTTACGATTCTGTCTTTATACAGAGATTTTTTACGCAGAGATTTATTTGCAGGGAGTACTTCCCAGTACAAACGCGCATATAAAGACTGCATATGAAAATAATTCAACTATGTATTTATTTATTTATTTATATGCATTGTATTTTATCTTTATTTTAATTTTTAATTGCCAGAAGTCTTCCACGGAAGCTGATCTCAACCATGCGTTGGGGGCAGCCTACTACCCTACCTCCCATTACCCCATTGCATATGAGAATAGGGTTTTGTTGTTGTAGAGTGATAAAAAAAATTCAATTTGTAAAGTTCAGTAAATAAATTGAAAATTTTGAAAGTACAGTGAGTAAAATAGGAGAGAGAATAAAGTTTAGTTACCAAACGCGTAATTTACCCTTCATTTATTTATTTACACGTGGCTAATTTAGAATAATATGCTTCCACAAATCTCCTTTGACTTTTTATTTTGCTTGAGTGAATTATATCACATGTACTCCGAGTATGGCATTCTTTTTAAATTGATCCTTAAATTATTATTATTATTATTTTAAATTAGTCTTTAAATTTTTGAACATTTTAATTTTATTATTACACTATGACTTTTATTTTAAATTATGAACATATACTATCTTCTCCTTACCATATATTATTTCGAACAAAATATATTTTAATTGCACTTGTGGAGTTAATGAATTTGACTGTTAATTCCAGATATTCTAATGTCACATGAAATTATCAAAGTGACTGACCATTTTTTAAATCATACTCGACTTTTAAAATATTTACATCAAGTACGAAAATGTAATAATTTGCAAAAGTAGAGCCTCAATTTAAAAAATCAAAACATAAGTATGTGAATCATTCTCAAATCACAACCTCATATACCCACTAATTTGTTATTACTGTGATTGGGGCACTCCAGTACCTTGGATGAGACTTGGCCACATTTGCATCAGGAACGTACATCGAATGGCACTCAAGACCAGTACCTTGGACGAGACATGAGTCACCCTTGCATTTGGAACATACACACGACTAGTTTACTCCTCTAAAGTAATGGATGAGTCTATGTCACAAGAGCATTAGAGCAACATCCGACTGGCATCCTTTTAGTGTCTTGGCACGACTTTTAGGATATCCACATAGCTCATGGAATATACATCCATCAACACAATAGACGAAAGTAAATTTGGCGTCCTCGTCGTTTCTTGAGTATCAAATAAAGACATAAGTCTTATAGAATCTCACATCATAAGATTCTTATAATATCACACATATAACATTATCATCACATTATTATCAACGACTCTTCATCATTAAGTTCTTGCTTTAGAATTAAATGTCTCATCTCACATCATTAAAAATCTCATTATTATTAGTCATTCACATTATTATTCGAGTATCATTTTTCTTCTCATTATTAATCAATTTCAACGTTTTTAGGCTCCTCACTCGAGTCTTACACCATTATTCAATCACTATGCAATTCAAACTCTCATGTTATATCATTTACTTAGGCCCGTAGTGGCAATTCAATAATTTTAACCTCATATGAGTATTTTAATAATTTGAAACACCCAAGTTAAATGCTCAATCTCAATTGCTATTAAACTCCTCACTCTCGAGTCTATTCAACATCTCGAAGTTCACTAATTAACGATATAGGTTGGTAAAATTGTATTAGATTTATTTGGATTTTGAGTCGAAATGCAAGCACGAATTCATCTAAAAATGTAAAGGCAGATACTAAGATAAAAAATTATTCAAGAAAAATTATTTACAGACCAAACAACAATGAATTCAAAATATGACTTCAACAAGCTATGCAGTAACATGAACCCAGCACTTTCCAGTAAATTCGTAACTTATTTTATGGAAAAAAATTACCCTTGAAGGTCATGAGGCACATTCAAAATATATACATGGAACGTTAACATTTTTTTCTATTTTTTCTAATTTATGTTTTTTATAAAAAAAATTATACTAATAATTTAATATATTTTTTCTACCATTTATCATTTTTGTTTCGTGATAAACATAAAAATACTACACTAATGTAAGTACGTGTTTGTTTTTAAATATAATGATATTGGGAGATGTACGTACACTCAGCGATGTAAGTAAGTATTTATTTCTACATTTTTTTTTCATAATTTATTCATACAACATTTATGAGTTGTACAAACAAAAATCATAACAAAATATTTAATAAAATTAATGAAAAACAAAAAATATAATATAATTTTTTTATGAAAATTAATCTAAAAATTAATAATTAAATCAAACACATACATAAAAAATAATGGCAAACCAAACATGAGAATACAATTTCGTAAACAATTATTTGTAACACCTTAAATCAGGCCTAGACATTACGACCAAACCCAGGATGTCACAAAGTTTAAAACAATTAATTTTTTTCCAAAATAACACTTCAAAATAATTCGATAAAATAATTACATAGCCTCAAACTGAAAACATAATACATTACTTAAAAATCGAAATAAACTAAATACGAGATACCTCCGAAATATATTGAGTCTAACATTAAGAAACAACCAATCTAAAATGAGAAGATAACGAGGAATGATCTATAGAGTCAAGTGCGTAAAAATAACCAGAGTATGTTAACTGAAATCAGTCACCGGGGCCGTGGCTAGGTTGTTGGAGACCATGTGCAAATTCTTATAAAGGGGCCCTTAGATCTCGAACTTATTTTATTTACATCTATATTATACTGAAAATTCTATAGAGTCAAGTGCGTAAAAATAACCAGAGAGTGTGTCAACTGAAATCAATCACCCGGGTTGTGGCTAGGTTGTTAGAGGCCCTGTGCAAATTCTTATAAAGAGACCCTTAGATCTCGAACTTATTTTTCTAAAATAATAAAAAATTTATTGCTATATTACACTGAGCAAACCCACTTGCATTGTTTTCCCAAAAATAATTTTGTTTGTTAACGAGATTCGAACTTAGGATCAACAAAGTCATGGGCCCAATGATTACACCACTGCTCTATACCTATTTTTATGCTTCTTAATGGCAACAACAGATAGAAATACTCGATTTCGGGGTCCCTATTTTTTGGGCCCTGCGCCGGAGCGCACTTTGCACACCCTCAACCACGCCCATGTCAATCACATAACAAGACATGAAGTGCATGATGGTAAGTCCTATCTATCCATCCATCCTCTAATCTCTCCTAGTAGATTTTCCCTAAACTAAATAACATTTTATTCTCCAAAAAGCATTAACACATATCATATTACAATAACAAGCAGTGACGAACGCAATATTTTATGTTAGGAGAACAAACTTATAAAATTTTACAAAGGGACAGACTTATAAAATTTCAGGGGACGAAAAAAGATTTTCAATAGAAAATATATAAAAGAATAAAAAATATAAGATAATTTTATATTTTTAAGGGACAACTTTACCCCCTCGGCCCCCTCGATCAATCCCTGATAGCAAACGATAATATAAAATTGTATTATGATACATACTACAAAAATAATGACTTCCTCCTACACAACATGTCCTATATATAATGCAACATGATATACCATTCAAAAATATATAGCATCACCATGATATATAGCAACACTAGAATTTAAAATCAAAGGACCACTCTTAGATGTATTCAAAATAAACTCCAACTAATTAATATATAATTATAAAATTTAATTAAGCTCCAAGAACACAATTTTGATAATTAGAATAAATTTGTCAACAAATTATAAAATCATTGAAATCGTATTTTTTTGTTTAAATCTAAAAAGAAATAACTTAATAAATAAATTTATTTATTTTAAAAAACAATGGGTTAATGACGTGAACAATACAAAAATTACATTTGTGAAACTATTAGAAATTCCTCATACCCAATATTATAAACAAAACGCATATTTGAATAAACTAATCATGGAAATACAAGCAGAAAAATTTACGGAATATACACATCAAATCTTTGGCAAATTTAGTAGAATAATCCGGGCGTCAAAATTATTTTAGAATATACGACATGTGAAAAATATATAGGAATCTAAGACATTTTTTATAGTAGAACATAAACTTATCACGTAGACATGACGAATTTTAATAAATAATTATATTTTATGAAATTTATTTATAGAACTCATCATATCCATGTGACGAGTTCCAATAAAATATACATTTTCCGAGTTCCTAATCTATTGTAACAAATGCCTTAAATTTTTAAATAATTAATAATCAGTCAACGAATAGAGTCATAATTTAAAATTGGATAAGGTCAGCTGTAGTCAAAGCTGATCGATAAAATAAATTTAAAAAGGTATGTTCGAGATATGGATCAATACAAGGTCAATCCTATTTGGGTTCGACATACTTCCAAGCTTATACAGAATAATTAATAAGTTTATTCAATCAATAAATCGGGTCATGAGTCAAAATTGGAAAAGGCCAACCTTTGCAAAGTCAATTGGTAAAGTTAAAAATGTCTATTCGAGATATGGGTCAGTACTCAGTCAATCCTATTTGGGCTTGATATACTTATGAGCTCATAGAGAATAATAGATAAGTTGGTTCAGTCAACAAATCGGGCTATGATTCAAAATTTAATAAGGCCAACCTTAGTCAAAATTGATTGATAAAATCGAGTTAAAAATGTCTATTTGAGATATGGGATAGTACTAGGTCAATCTTAGTTGGGCTCGACATAGTTTTGAGCTCATACAACCTAAGCTCAAGCAAAGTTGTTTAGATGATTGGGTCAGATTCTTGGGCTTGGCCACCAAATCCAGAGGCAATAGGTCACACTAAGTAGGCTTGTGTCATATTGTCTCAAACAAAAATGGACCGAGACAAGTTTTGGGTCAAACTCAATTCAATTGAGTCTATTGGGCTTGACGGTTAGGTCCAGGCCAATCAAACAATCGAGTTTATAGACAAAATAAACCAGCTAACAAGAGGGGTTCCTAATTTGAGCTACAAAAAATTGGGTCGAATCTAACTTGAACGGACCCACTCATGTGTTATAGCTAAATGACTTGTTTCCATTGAACAAATGAATTAGTATTTGGCTATAAGGGTTAGCCGCAATGATTAGCACCGGGTTGTGGCGGTGGACTATATGGATTAGCACCGGGTTGTGGCGGTGGACTATATGGATTAGCACTTGGGTGCACATATTGGCCATACATATTAACCCTCGATTGTGTAGGTCAAAGAAGCTAGAAAACATCAACCAATATATCATTTTCTTGATTTAGAGTTGACGATTCTTGAGGCAGAAACTGAGAGTTTGTTGATGGAGGTTGAACACGGGATACACTAGGTGAAGAGTAACATTGGCAGAGAATGAGTATCCAAATTTGGAGGTTGAACGCTGGATACACTAGTGTCATCACTAAATGGATCATCAAAACCTTGAATCAAGAACAATATAACATAAATATAGATAACCATAGATTAATTAAAAAATATATATATATTGAAGTCCACTGGAATAAGAAAAGAAAAAGTTTAGAGTAAATAAGGGGAGATAGGAAAGAGAAAATAGGGGAAAATCTTTAACAAGTTCCACACTAGAGAATCATGTTACCTGATCTCCAAAATTAGATGATGGCTGATTGCAAAGGTGGTCATAGCACCAGGAGTTGGCACGGGCATCAGAATCAGTAGCATGGTTTTCAAGTGTTCTCGGAGGATAGCAAATGCATCATACATAACATCCAATAGTCTGTTTCAACATTGATCGAAGCAAAAGGAACAACAGTAGCAGGGACACAACTGCTGCAGCAGGAACAATAGTTGGAGCAGCTGTAATTGATGAAAAATAGATAGATTAATCGCAGTTATAGGGGATAAATGCAACAAGGTTCAACAAGATTTCAATCGAAGTGTAAATTGTAACCGGTTGTAATTTAAATTAGGGTTTAACGTTGTAAAGTTATATGGATATGTACAAGTAGTTTAGGTAACAGTTGTAAAATTATAAGAGTCCTAACTAGGTAAAATTCTTGTATTACAATCTATAAAAGACTCTTGTATTCTTTTGGAGATTGAATGAGATTTCTTGAAGAAACAAACTGTTTCTTATCAATTTTTACATGGTACCAGCTTAGGATTTTCAATCCATTCCCTAAATTTGGTCGAGATGAGCAAATTCTACAAATCCTGAAAATAGCTCAATCAATTATCAGGTTTCTCAGCCTGGTTCTTCTTCTTCTTCTCTCAACTTAACTAATGCCTATCCACTCTCCATCACACACCACAAATTGAATGGCCATAATTATATTCAATGGTCCCAATCTGTCAAGCACTACATCAAAGGAAGGGGTAAAGAGGATGTAACTAACAACAAAAACCCTTAGATTCCAAAAAGTAATATCCCCATTTAAATGTCTAATCATTTGGCAAGAAACATTTAATTCGCAAATAGAAAATAAATTAAAACCTACCACATGAAAAATAAATAAAAATAATAATAAAGTGAAATGTGAAGCAACAGAGAATGTGAAACCTAATATTTAGAAAACTGAAAAAATCGCACTTTCCAGGGTAATATGTCTAAGACAAAAGAACAACATATAAACTAAGTTTCATAATTGAAGATGAATATGACCAACCAGGTAATAGAATTGGAACATAGAAACCATTGAATTCATGTAGAATTTCATACCTGAAAGTGAACCGCATGGATCAAATTCATCAAAGACCTCCACTTGATAATTTCAAGAAGCTAAATTACTAATATCAACGGCTGCTTGGTTAGGATTATTGTTGCTAGCAGGAGGAGAAATCCCGAGAGCAATTGCTACAGAAGTTTGGCCAACCCTATCATAAAAGATATTTTTCAGTATGCATCACCAAGCAAAGCACAAGTGAAAGTAACATGTCTTGAAAAGAAATACCTTTCACTATAAGAAGGGTTACCTTCCATCCTGAGAGTGATCATTAGCTCTAGCATCGCTTCCCCTGATAGGTAACATGATCAAGCTAATTACATTCCTCATGTCAAGCAAACACAATTGAAACTAACATTTCTCTGAAAAGAGATACCTTTGACTATAAGAAGGAATCTAAATCTCACTTACTGCTTCTACATAACTGCAAGGAGCACCAGCATTTTGGTGAGAATGCTTGCGCTCATGCTGCCTGCACAAAAAATATTTATTTTTTCAGAAAATTTAAGAAACAAAAAATAAACAATTATTGTCTAATAAAAGATTGATCAACCACAATTAAGGTATAGCCTAGATGTTTTAAGAATACACACTTAAGAGGTGGCATCCAACAAGTCTAAACTTTAAATTTCAACACTTGTAACCTCCTCGATTATTCCTAGGCTGCGATCTCCTTTAAGAAAACTCAACTAATACAAGTTCGTACTGCATCAACACATGGTTACCTTCCATCTTGAGAGTGATCATTAGCTCTAGCACCATTCCCCTGGCAGAGAAGATGATCAAGCTAATTACATTCCCCATGTCAAGCATATCGAAAAGGTAATACCGTACATAAATTTCACAAGGATCCTAAGCATTAAATCTAGAAATGTTATTTGGTTAAATGACACCCAAAGCACATTTGGATAGAAAAATTCCATGGAAAGTTGCCAAGCAAATGCAACATCTAAGAATCCTAATCTAGTGCAACAGAAACTATTAATACTTACACCTTCCATTTTGAATGTTTTTCATTATTACTTCAACAAAAATTGAGAAAAAATGTTGACATAATTTAATCAACAAAATTAATGTTTCATGAAAGAACATAGCAATATAAAGGCCTTAAAGTAAATAAGTGCATACCAAGAAGAAGCACCATCCTCATCAAAAACACTGTCTCTACCATAGCTCCTAGATCTTGTGCCTATTGATAATCATCAACACTTCTACCTCGCTAGTCATCATCCTTGTTGTGGCGGTCTTCATAATCTATGCCATAACAATCTCCATCACAATTGTTTGAATCCTCATATCTGTCATACCGATCATCATCTCTATATCCCTACTCAAGGTCTCTTCTATGACCATTCTGATCGTCATAATCCTTGTTTCCATAATGATCATTATCATATTTGTAGTCATGTCCCTCCTGAATCTGGCTTATACATTCCACCTGTTGATGTATTTTGAAACCTGTAGAACAAACAAGAAAATATTATGGAAGAACTCAACATCCCACTGATCACGTTTATGAAACTAGAACGTATATAAATGAAACTGAATTAAAAAAAAAAACTATATTAAGCTTGGAGCTTTTTTATTTGAGTTCCATTAATATGCTAATATTCTCAAAGTTTTATTACTCAAGAAAGGAAGAAAAAATTGATGTGAATTGGTGAATGCATGAACAATGAATATCTTACAATTAAAGGCAATGATGAGAAAATACAGCTGCACCTTTGGAGAGAAAATCACTTTAATCAATCTCAATAAATTTTCCACGGACAAATTAACGTGACATCAAAATGTAACTGATGTGTAGCATAAACGTGTCTCCCATTGTTATATGAACAACATATACAACATAACACATCAAGTATACTAAAGTTCAACCCTATAAAATAGATAATGTTTCATCTAAACCTTATAAAGCAAATACATTTCATCTTAAGAACCATGAAAACCAAAAGAAACTTCACAAAAGCAAAATGTCTGGCAAATCATATAAAACTTAAGACCTTGAAATCAAATGAATCAAAACAATAAATAGAAAGATGCACCTTGATATCAACACCACCAGCAAATATTCGAAGATCTTTGATAGATGAAAATGTGGCATCCTTGACACAGTTAAGTAGTGTATCCCCTAAACTTGTTCCATTGTCATTTTGGTCCCCTAACAATTTACCTCTGAAGTTTGAACTTCATGGATGCTATAGCAGTAAGGAGTACCTTCAGCACTTGCAGAATTGTAGTCTACTAAAAACAAGGTTAACAGACAAAAGTGTCCGTACCTGTCAGTAGAATAATTATCCACAAAACCACAAACCATAATCCAGTATACTTGTTGAAAACTGAGGAAAAAATTTACCACCACAAACCATTATCTCCCTCAAGATGATCCATTATGCAAAAATCAAATTGAACAAAAAATTAACATGCAATCATTATACAAAAAATTAACATATGAATTTCCAAAATCAAATTGAACAAAAATAAACATGAAATAAGCATTAAAAAATAGCAGGATTTCAGATGAATTATGTCTTCCCTTAATGTTATAAAAAAAACATGAAACTACATAGCAGAAAATAAACATTCAAAAATAGTAAATCGAGAAAGAAAGACTCTACACATATGAAGACAATCCAAAGCAGGTTGAAGGATTTTATATTTCAATTTAAAATCAAAACTGAAATAAGTCAGCGAAATAGTCTTTTAGGTTTTAATTTAAAATTCTCACTAGTATGTAACTAACAGTAGAAGTTTCAGGTCCCCAAAATGTAATATCCCTATTTAAATGACTAACAATTTGGCAAGAAAAATGTAATTCAAAGATAGAAAGTACACTAAAACCTACCACTTCAAAAAAATTTAAAAAATAATATATTGAAATTTGAAGCAACAGAGCATGCCAAACCTAATATTTGGATAACTCAAAAAATTACATTTTCCAGGACGATATGTCAGGACAAAAGAACAACACATAAACTACTTTTAATAATTGAAGATTACTATGAACTTATCCCGGTGGAGGATAGGGTCTGACTGAGATCGTCACTTACTGGTATTTGCAAAGATATTTTTGAATTTCATGTTGTGCATAAAGCATTAAGGAATGAGGGCATCAACATAAAGGTTGTAAGGTGGGGTTTTGCTAAGAATGCGTGCCTGGTTGTGTTCCAATCGGTGGAGGAGAAGAATTTAGCGATGGAAGGAAAATGGGAAGCTTTATCTTTCTGGTTTGAAAGGTTGGAGCCTGTTTTGGATGAGGAAAACATTCCCCAAGCTTTTTGCATTATCTCCATGATAGGAGTTCCTTTAAATTGCTGGTCCGTTCCGTTCTTCACTAGGGTGGTATCCAGGTGGGGTAAGTTAGTGAAAATTAAAGATGAAACTGCTCAAAGAGTTGATTGTAGAGTTGCGTAGATGCTTCTCAGGGTTGTTAGTCCTTTTGACATCCCTGATCATACTACCATTTCTACGAATGGAAGGAAATTTATGATAAAAATTAAGGTTGATGGTGGGGATGATTTCTTTCCTGAATTTTCAAAAATGGCCGAAGAGGATGTTCCAAAAGATCCTTGGGTGGAGAGATCCTCCGTTTGGAGTCTAGAGGATGTTCAGGCGCAGCATGAAGGTCACGTGGGTTGTCAGGATATGTCAAAAACCCATAATAGGGTGCAGGAATGGGTCCTAGGCTCACAACTTGGTAATATCACAGAATCCGAGAGAGTTGTCTCCTCTCAGCATGAAAAGTCAAAAGGCCTTTTTAAAAGTAAGAGAAGCGGGAAAAATACGGGGGGATCTCTATAAGTAGGACAAAGTTGACCAGGAGATTGGGCTTCATATAGGCCTTGGAGAACATCGGTTGAGTGGCCTGGATCAAGAAATTTGCCAACTAACTATGGGCCGACTTTCTTCTTCACCAGTTACAGTTAAGGATTCAGTAAGGACTGAAGATGGAGGGGGGTCTGCGGTTGGTTTTAAGTTGATAAGTTCAAGAGCTGGTTCACAAACATGTTCTGCAAGTTCATTATCCATGAAGACTGCTCCGGTTGGATGGAAATTCATCAAAAGTCACAAGAAAATTTATTGTAGGTCTAAGGATAAAAAGATCTGGAATCAGGTTGTGCAGGATTGTAATAATGTGCAGGATTACAAGGAAAATTTACGAGGGGCATCCAAGGGTGAATTGGGTAGAGCTTTAATTTCTAGAGGTTATCTTTTTGAAATTTAAGAGGCTGTTGGTTGTTCGGTAAAGGATATGGACAGGTCTAGGGCGAACATACCTTACCGGAGACTTAAAAGGTCTCTCATTAGGGAAGCAATATATCATGCTAGTGTTGATATTGTATCCTCTTCAGCTTTTCCTTTGCTGTTGGAGGAAGCAATTGCTACATGGGAAATTAGTAAGATATTGGGAATATCTTTCAAAGAGGGGAAGGAAGCTTTTCTACATAAGATTGTTGAATTGGAGAAAGGGTTTAGTGGGGCTACTTGACATCGAGTTATGTCCTTGGGCTATTTTGGGTTATATTTATTTTGAGTATCATGACTAAGCTAAGTATCTTGTCTTGGAACGTTAGGGAGTTGGGTAAAAAAGAGAAACATAGGGCTGTGCAGAAACTTGTTTCTGAGAAAAAACCATTGTTTCTTTTTCTTCAAGAAACAAAACTTGAAAAGCTACCAAGATCTTTTTTAAGGAGAAGTGGTTTGAATAGGCTGCAGGGGTTCGTTGAGTCACCAGCTATAGGTTCATCTGGTGGTATTTTAAGTTGTTGGGATGATAGTACTTTTGAGGTCGAAGATCAGCATATTCATAGGAGGTTTATTGCTGTCTTTGGAAAGTTCAAGTCCAACCATCTTAGGTGTGGCTTCATAAACGTGTATGGTCCGTATGTGGAGGAAGAGAAGGCTGGTTTTTTTGAAGAACTGGAACTGTTTTTAAACGGGTTCAGTATCCCTTTGTGTGTGGGTGGGGATTTCAATGCCTACTTAAATGAAGAGGAGAAGCTGGGTAGAGCTCAGAACAGAAATTCATTGGAAATTTTCAATCACTTTATTCAGCAATCGAGGTTTATTGATGTGCCACTTGTTGGGGGAATTTTACCTGGAGCAGTAATCGGGAGTTGCCAACTTTTGTAAAATTGGTTTATGGTGAATTCTAATTTCTTAGCAGAATTCTCCGGTATCAGTCAGTTTTTATTGCCTAAATCTATCTCCGATCATAATGCAATTATTCTGGAGATTAGGGAAGAAAATTGGGGTAAGAGACCCTTTAGGCTGTTTAGCTATTTAATGACTGAGGATAGTTTTGAGAAGATGGTTGCTGAGTCTATTAAGGTGTTCAAAGAAAAGAAGTCAAGTGCTACAAGACAATTCATCAGATTGAAATGAGGATGCAACAAAATCTGTCTCCCAATGTTGTTGTCAATTCGATAGAGTTGAGGCTCTTGAGAAATGAACTTTGGAGACTTCTCAAAATCGATGAGCAAATTTGGGTTCAAAATTCGAGAGAGAAGTTGGTTAATGGTGGAAATCGTAATTCTAAGTACTTTCACACTTGCGCATCCATTAGGAGGAGGCAGAATTCTCTGCTTGTTCTCAATGTTGATGGTGTCATTACCAAGGATCCAGGTACTATCAAGTCCAGTGTCAGGGAACATTTCTTTAAAGCTTTTAATTGTTGTTCAACATTGGAAGTGGAGGATATTAAGTTGGACTTTTCGATAATTTCTATGCAACGGAATCTTTTGTTAGAGAATGAGTTTACAAAAGATGAGATTTGGGAGATCATTAATTCTTACGATAGTGATAAAGCCCCGGGCCAGATGGGTTGAACATGGGAATTTTTAAGAAGTTCTGGTTTATATTGAAAGGTGATATATTGAAGTTTTTCCACAATTTCTATTTGGGAAAGGAGTGGGAGCATGACATTAACCATTCTTTCTTAACTCTCATCCTGAAAGGCTTTAATGTTGGTAGCTTAGATAATTTCAGACCTATTTCCCTTATAGGTGGGATGTATAAGATCCTTTCTAAGTGTCTTTCGAGAAGGATGAGATGTTGCATCAATGATATTATCAGTGAGTTGATGCTCTGATCAGAACGAGTTTTGACAAAAGAAAAAGAAGACAAATTTCAGAACCAACAACTACTGTAAAGTCTCAAGACCACAATTTCTTCACAGTGAATGGAAACTTAAACTTTGACAAAAGAGAAGCAAACATTAGGTCTTCAAGATTCGGATCCCTAGAGTTAATTGCAAATATGAAAAGCAATTGCATACTTTCTAACCTGCTGCCGAGCTGAGGCAAGTTTCAACAATTCATCTGCCTCTGAGAAATTCATAAACCACTGGCTGAGTGGATGATCCTTGGTGTTGCCCCTTCTCTTGTCATTCATATTTTCAACTGGTACTGCAGGAAAGGGCATTTGTTAGATCTTAAGTACATAAAGTTGAGTAGAATTTATACTAGACTAAAAAAGTAGAAGAGAAAGAATACTATCCATGGCGAGAGCGAGAGAACGAGAGAGCAGATATTCTGATGGCAAAGATGGAGAGGTTCTTGGAGGGGGTTATTGGTCTGCGTTCGTTGATAATCTTAGTAGGAGAGTGAGCAGAATAACTTTAGGGGAACATTTTAGTTATCATGGAAAAGTTATTAGGGTGTTTATTCCTTTTATTAACAACAGACCGAAATACAAAGATTGTACGTTTGCTTTTGTCCATTTTGCAAGCAAGAAGGATCTGTACAATGCGGTGGAGAAGATGAATAATGTCAGGATTGCCGAGAAGATAATTTCTGTATCAGTAGCTAAATATGACAAGTTATCTGAGACGAAGAGTCGTGAAGGGGCTAGTGTGGAGGGCTTCAAAAAGGTCGAAATAGGAGAGTTGAAGGGTAGAAGATTGACTTCTCCAGCACAATGGAAAGAGAAAATGGAACGAATGAGCAAGTTCCTTGATGGAAGGACTTATAGAGACACTGTGGTTGGGGTGAAAAAAGTTCCAGAGGGTCATCAAATAAGCAGTCAAAGGAATACTAAGGAAGAGAAGAAATCTTTGGAAGTCTTTATCCCGATGGAAGAGAGATTATGGTTGAAATCTTCACTTACTGGCATTTGCAAAGATATTTTTAAAGTAGAATTTGTGCAGAAAGCCTTACGAAATGGGTGCTTTAAAGTTAAGGTGATGAGGTGGGGATATGCGAAGAATGCGTGTCTGGTAGTGTTTCAGTCGGTTGAAGAGAGAATGATTGCAATGGAAGAAAAATGGGAAGCTCTGATGTTCTGGTTTGAAATATTGGAACCAGAGGTAGAGGAGGGGGGCATTCCATTAGCTTATTGTGCGATTTCAATGATTGGTGTCCCATTAAATTGTTGGACGGTCCCATTCTTTTCTAGCTTAGCATCCAGATGGGGCAAGGTAGTAAAAATCCAAGATCAAACTGCACATAGAGTGGATTGCAGAGTGGCGCAGTTGTTACTAAGTGTTGAGAGTCCATATGACATTCCAGAACAGATCATCATCACTACGTATGGGAGAAAATTCATGATCAAAATTAAAGTTGATGATGCTGAGGATTTTTTTCCATAATTAACATATATGGAGGTAGAAGAAGTTGCAGAGGAACCATGGGAGGAAAGCTCTTCGGAGTGGAGCAAGGAAGATGTGCAGAATAGGCAAGAAGAGCAGGTGGGAGTACAAGAGTTGTCAGAACCCCAGAATAGGATTGAGTGTTGGATTAGAAGTTCTCAACAAGGCAAAAACACAACTACCGAGGGAGGTTTGAATTTAAACATAGGTATGGAAGATACTTTTGTTTTGTGAAAAAATGTGACAGAAGTAGGGGATGTCTCCATACAGCAGGAAAAGTCAGAAGAAGTTAATGAAGGGAGAGAAAATGGGAAAAGTCTGGGAGGTGTTCCCATAGAGCATGAAAAAGTTGACTGCGGAAATGGGCTTATTAGGGGCCCAGATTTACATTTGAGGAGTGGGTTGGATCAAGAGGAGGAAAGATTAAGCAAGGGATGTTGTTTTGAAATAGCAGAAAATAATGTTGCACATTGTCAAACACCAGTGCAGGTGGGGTCTGTTTCCTTGTCTTCTTATAGAAATTCGGGGATTGTACCTGGGAGTAGAATGGGAAGGGGAAAATATAAACATGTTTATTCAAGATCTAGGTTGAGGGGAACTAGGAGCTGTTTAGGTACAAGTTCGGAATATGAATATAGAAATGAGGAAGGGGATGGGGTAGAGGCATTGGAGAGCTGGAATGTAAGTAAATTGTTAGGGATTTCATTTAGAGGGGGAAAAAAGCTTTTATGAACAAAACAAATTCATTGGTTAAGGAGAGAGGAGCGCATGGGGGGAATTAAGGGGTGATGGATTTCAAGGTTATGACTGGATATAGATGACTAGTTGGAATTTATTGTCTTGGAATGTTCGAGGTTTGGGTAGGAGGATTAAGGCTAGAGTTGTAAGGAGGGTTGTTAAGGAGAGAAAGCCTGTAATTTTATTCATTCAGGAATCGAAAATGGAAATGTTGACTCCACTGGTAGATAGGAAAATGGGTGGTAATTTGTTGACAGCTTCGGCAGTTTCAGCAGCTGTAGGTTCTGCTGGAGGTCTGATTACTTTATGGAATGAAAAAGAGTGTAAGATTATAGAGGAAATCATTCATAGGAGGTTTGTAGCAGTTAAGGGTATTATTGATGGGTTACAAGGATCCTGTTGGTTCATAAATGTGTACGGTCCAAGTGTCGATTCAGAAAAGGAGGCGTTTTTCGGGGAGTTGTTATCATTCTAAGAGAATATAGACTGTCCAGTGTGTCTCGGAGGAGACATCAATGTTGTAATGTCACAGGATGAAAAGATGGGAGGTGCAGTTAACTTAGTTACAATGTTTGCTTTCAAAGATTTTATGAGCAAAGCTAATTTACTGGATTTGCATTTGGTTGGAGGTCGATTTACATGGTGTAACAATAGGGATATCCCAACTTATGAGAGGCTTGATCGATTCCTAGTGGATCAAAGATTTTTATCATTGTACCCTATGATAACTCAAAGACTCCTTGAAAGGTCTGTTTCAGATCATAACAGTATCTTGCTGGAAAATAGGGGCTGGAATTGGGGCCCTAAACTGTTCAAATTGTTTAATTATGTCTTGGAAGAAGATGGATTTTGTAGGATGATGGAGGGAGAACTGGTCAATCTTTGTAATGTGGAGAATAGACAACCAATCTACAGTGTACTAAAAGGAGTGCAGGATGCAGTGAAGAATTGGTCTGGGAAGGGTTATCTTGAGATCCCCGGGAGAATATATAGGTTGGAGAAAGAAATTCAGGAGATGGAACTCAATCTGCAACAAGGTCTCTCCATGGTGTCTATGAAGAACCTAGTGGAAGCAAAGAAAGAGCTGTGGGACTTGTATAAAAAAGATGAATTGATTTGGCTTCAAAAGTCAAGATTGAAGTGGAGTTTGAATGGGGATAAAAACACTAGATTTTTCCACCAGTGTGCAAGAGGTAGATGAAGGAGAAATGGTATCAAATCCATCAAAGTCGATAATGAAGACATCTCAGATCCAAAATTAATTAAAGCTTCGGTGGTGCACTTTTTCAAGGGGTTGTTTAATCAGGAAAATACATTGGAAGTTGAGATGGACTTGGATTTTTTACAGCTATCGAATCAGCAGAACATGGCACTCGAGAAGCCTTTTTCTGAAGAGGAAATTTGGGGTGTAATCGCTAATTCGGATTGTAATAAAGCACCTGGCCCGGATGGACTGAATTTAGGTTTTTTTAAGAAGTTTTGGTCAAGTCTGAAGGAAATTTTGCTGCTGTTTTTTAAAGATTTTTATGAGGGAAAGGAATGGGACATGGAAACCAATCATTTTTTCCTCTCTCTTATTCCCAAGAGGGACAATCCAGAGGGGCTTGAAGACTTTAGGCCTATTAGTCTAGTTGGGAGTTTCTACAAAATTCTCTCAAAAGTTCTGGCTAGAAGGTTAAGCTTATGCATTAATGAAGTTATTAGTCCTTCACATTGCTCGTTTATAGCAAATGAAGGCATTGATTGTTGGAGGAAAAAAGGATTGAAAGGAGTTGTTTTTAAGGAGGATTTCAAAAGAGCTTTTGATACTATTGATTGGAGGATCTTGCTGAAAATAATGAGTAAAATGGGGTTTGGAGCTAGATGGAGTTCTTGTACAAGTGTGTTTCAACAGCTTCCATTTCAGTTTTGGTAAATGGCACACCTACGAAGAAAATTCACATTACTAGAGGGCTAAGGCAGGGTTGCTCGTTATCCCATTTGTTGTTCAATTTGGGAGGGGAATTGCTACATTTAATGTTGGTAAAAGCAGTGAATAAGGGGTTGTTTTCGGGTTTTGAATTAGGCTCTAATGAACGTTCTTTCATGTTATCTCATTTGCAATTTGCGTATGATTTAATAATTTTTAGTAAGGCTTCTATTCATGATTTGGTGAATATTAGAAGGGTACTTTTAATTTATGAACTGATGGTGGGTTTGAAGTTGAATCTGTCTAAGAGCAAAATTTTTGGAATTAATGTGGGGGATGAGGAACTAGTTTCATGGGCAAAGGAAATAGGGTGCATAAGGGGAGTTTTTCCTTCGGAGTACTTAGGTATTCCATTGGGGGCCAAGAGGAATTCTTTTTCCCTGTGGGAACTGGTTATACAAAACTTTTATAATAATTTGGCTGGTTGGAAGGCCAAGTCTCTATCTCTGGCTGGAAGGGCTATCTTGGTCAAATCGGTGTTGTGCTCTATTCCAATCCACTATCTTTCTATTTTTCGGATCCCTATTAGTGTTCTCAACAAACTAAACTCTATCATGGCATCGTTTCTATGGGGGGGATCATCAGATAAAAAGAACATTCATTGGATCAAGTGGGATTTGGTGTGTAAGCCAAAGAAGTTGGGGGGTTTAGGGATTCCGAATTTGCTGCTTTTAAACAGGGCTCTTATGGGGAAATGAGTGTGGAAATTTGCTGGAGAGAAAAATTCTTGGTGGAAATCAATTGTGTGTTGTGTTTACAATATGGATCCTAATTCTTTGATGATCCGGAATACTTGGACAGCTCGTAGTTCTTGGATTTGGAGAGGAATTGTTAAGAACTTCTTTTCAAGTGATGCATTTGGGGACTGTTTTAGGAGAAATTTGTGTGTTAGGGCTGGAAATGGAGAAACTGTTCAGTTTTGGCATGATGTTTGGTTGGGTTCGGCTCCTCTAAAAGATAGGCTTCCAAGGTTATTTGCTCTTTCGAATAACAAAGAGGGTAAGGTAGCAGAATTCAGATTGCACAATGATTCGGGTTGGGTTCGGGATATTCAAATGAGAAGGAATTTGGTGGATTGGGAGGTTGAGCAGTGGCTGCTAATTATCTCTCTG